TTACAGTTGTTTATTTATCTTTCTCGTATTTATCCTTTAGTTTTTTTTCCTTTTTTATACATTTGAATGTTAGACTAATGACTCATTCTGTAAATAAATGTGTATTTTAAAATTTTCCTCTGTATTCACTCTTTTTTCTACTACCTACGTTATTTGCTTTGTATGTATGTTTTTTTAACTTTTTTATCTTTAACTGATTTTACTCTTGATAACATTTTGCGATAAGAGATGTAGTCTTAGAAGAGTTCCAAGTTCCAAAGTTTATCTTTCCTGTTTATCTGTCTCTCGGATTTACCCTAACAATATAAAATAAACATAAAAAATTATCGTGGTTGAAATCAAATAAAAATTTGGAAATCCACTTATGTAATATTTTTTTTAGTAAGTCTTTTTTAGTTTTATTATTTCATCAATTCTAAGCAAAAACATAAGTCTTTTTTAGTTTTATTATTTCATCAATTCTAAGCAAAAACATAGAATAATAAATACAGAGTGGAATTTTTAACTGAAATAAAATTCATAATTTGAATATAAGCGATTTCAGAAAATAGATAAACAAAAACCATCAAATGATGCGCAAAGAAAAATAAAAATCGACCAGTTTCAGGATTTTTTACAAAAATCGCTCATATTCGAAATATGAATTTTATTCCAGTTAAAAATTTCACTCTGTATAGTGTCTCGGAGAGATAGATCATTTTTTTAAAACTTGCTGTAAATGTTTTTGAGGACAAAAATAACCTTTTTAATGTAAATTTTATTAAAAACAATAATAAAATTGTTTTTTTTTCGTTATTTTTTTGTTTTTAGTTTAAGGGAGCTAAAAGTAAGTTGTTTGTTTTGAAGTTAGAAAAAAAATATTTTTCTCGGACTTACCCTATATGTATTTGTGTTTTTTCATTTTTTATTCCTATTTTGTATTAAAATCGTATTTTGTTTTGTATGACTTATTTTATAAATAAATTTAAATTTTAATTATTTTTTTCTCTTTATTTCCTGTTTTCTCTATTACATATTTGCTTTTTTTTTGCTTTATATGTTTTTAATATTTAACTCACTCGCTGGTCTGTTTCTCCTGGATTTACCTTATCAATAAAAAAATAAAAAATTGTAGTTTTGAATCAAATACAAATTTTGAAATCCACTCATATGATATTTTTTTAGTGAGTCTATGTCCAGTTTTGTTATCATTTAATCAAGTCCGGGCTCGCTTTCCACTTTCCAACTTTTGCCTATTTTGCCTCAACTTGTTTTTCTAGGCTTATTCCCGGTTTAAAATTTAATCCAAACATTTCCTGTTTTATTTTTCCAACTATCATCCCTGTTATTGCGGTTAATTCTTCTTTAATGACACCCACGGTCCTGTAATTCAGCGCCTTATGTCTTTAGAACATCCTCGCTTTGAAGTAAGTTTGCGAATATAAACTTTCTGTTAGTGTAAAGGAGTTGCAACTAATTACAAACTGCTGTGTTTGATTCACTGTTTTAAAGCAGCAGCAGAAGCAACTTTTGTAAATTAAATATTCACCGAATCGGTGTTTTAAGTCCTTGTAATTACTTCGATTACAAAGTGGCAAATGTTGCGACTGCCCTGGTGAGTAATTGCCATCGCCACCGATCGATATTCCAGTGCAAAGTTACACTAATTCGACGATTGATGCACTAGAGTGGCGGCTATTAGTTGTTTGAAGTCGAGATTTTTAAAGTTGAACTGCCAATTAAGTCTGTTTTTTTAAACGGAAATGTCAAACAGCATCACTCGCAAATTCATTCATGGTAATTTTTATGAAGAAAGTTGGTAGTTCCAGTTTTTGATTTAATTTGAAAAAAATATGTACGATTAACTCTAATTTTATAAAAATCCCACTAATTCTAATAAAATCTACTAAAATTTCAGTAATTTATTGTATTTCCATTGTTTTCAGATCCATTCCTATAATTCCAAATTAATACCAGCTTAATTTCCGTAATTCAAAATTAATTCCAATAGTTCTAAGAAATACAACGTAATTTAAAAAAAGTTATCTTGGATAATTCCAAAAAGCATTTTAGTAATTCACTAATAATTTTAGTAATTCTAAATAATCTAAATGTAATTTTAATAATTCCAAGCAATTTTGAAAAATTCCAAAAATTGCAGAGTTAACGGTCTTCGCTGTGTCAGCAAAAATCGTGAAAAAATTTAGAAACAAAATTTTTTTTAAGAATTTAACTATTTCTGAAAGAATAGCAAACACAGCGAGAAGCTGTTAGGTTTCTGAGGTAATTTAGACTTACAAAAATTGTTTTAGAATAACAAAGATAAGTTGGAATTACGAAAATTAAGTTGAAATTACAGGAATTAATTTGGAATTATAGAAATAATTCAGAAAACAAATGATTGTATTATTAAAATTACTGGAATTTTGGCGGATTTTTTTAGAATTACTGGAATTGCTTTTAAAACTACTGGATTGTTTTTAGTATTATCAAGAATATTTTTTTTGTAAAATTGAAATTAATTTGGATATACAAGAATTATTTTGAAATTACAAAATTTAAGTTGGAATTAAGTTTGAATAGTTAAGTTGGAACTGCAGACATTAATTTGAAATTACAGGAATTAATCTGAAAACAATGAATTTACTATGGATTTTTGGAAATACTGGATTTTTTTA